TTACCAGCATACACTTTTCACGAAATTTAAGGGTATTCCATCAATTTTCTTGAAAAAAAAAAATTATAAAGATCGAAGGGGGGGTGTTTTGAGATAATCATCGTTTTACGTTTTTCAAATACTAATTTACGAAGTTTTTTCTTTCAATGTATTTTTTCCGCAAAGATAATTTAATTACCTAAAACTTCTTCTCATATGCCGTTTTGATCAGATCAATAGTTTTCAAGTTATGATTTAAAAAAAAAAAAAAATAATCAATTTTTTATACGCCCTTTTCAAAAGTTACTCTGGAGGAAAAAATCATATTTAAATGAAAAATGCAACCATTAGTAGCAGCGAACACGTGAGCAATGTTTCATTTAAATCAGAAGGGGTCGAGACAAAATTGACATTTTTTTTAACGATTTGAGCTAGAAATGCTCCCGTACACACTTATCGAGTCAGTAATTTTACCGAGTTTTTGAATTGCGGAACACTTTGGTAAAATTTTAAAAAATCTGTGAAAAATTCAAAGTTGAGAAAATGTGTTACCAAAATTTACAGACTAACTTCTGTTAACCCCGTGTAATGATGAAAAATAAACATTTTCGATTTTATCCAATCTTTACGAATAACAGTTATTTGAATTTTAACCGAGTCAGTAATCCAAAAATCCAGTAAAAATACTAAAGCAGCGGAGCTCGATACTCCTCCATCAAAACAGCACCGCAGCTGAGCTGCGAGTGCTATGAAATAAAAAGGACATCGACTTATTACCACTCTCCCTTCCGCTCTCAGAATTCGATGATTCAGTGTCTCTCGTTGTGTTTTCTGCTGAGACTGAGCAATATTCGTTACCGCGAAACATCTCCGCAGTTATGTTTTCTTTCGGCGCAGGAGATGTGCGGTAATCAAAAGTTAAGAATGTAGCTAAACATTTACAATAACATTCTACCAAATTTTCATGTGCGTAGTCCACTGCAACAGCCGAACGTACGAACGAATAGGGTGACTATAGCGCATTTTAAGAAAACGTCACAAGTTTTTCTGGCTGTTTTTAAATCAATAATTACGAAGAAACCATAAAGCCTACAAGGTTACTACCAAAGGCACAAATCTAGGGAACTGCATAGAAAATGTTTTGTAGAACAACTAAATAAACAGAAATGAAAATTTTCAACTTAAAAACACTAAAATGTATGAAATTTCACCAGTTTTTTCGGTACTTTCAACATACTTTTCAATTTTAATGTATGATAATTAACTTTAATCGAGTTCTTTTATAGAAAGCATTGATAGCTAAGACTTTAATCTTTCATTTGGTATGTTGAAATCAGAAAACCACATCAAGATTAAAAAAATATAGCTAACCAAAGTTGGCAATACAAAAAAACATAAAATGTTGAATAACTCACTTACCAGTCATTTCCGACCCTATGTTTCATGGGGATTTTTTCATAACTTTAGGAACCCTATCTACCCTGAAAATATGTAAAACCCGGAACCAAACACCCTGTATATGAACGCTGATGCTTAGAAAAGCTTTCAACTTTTCAGAACTTATGTATAGCGGACGTCACTTATGTGTAGAACGAATATGGTGGCGCTTACGTCACTTTCTCATCTAACGGTGGTCCAGCACCTAGAATCGGAGATGTTGTGCTGCTAGAAGTCTAGGTGGTCTGAAACCTCGCAGAAACTAAACGATGTACATAAATCGGTCTCAAAGATGCAATCCTCCTCGGACCTGTCTCCCCCTGTTTATTAAACGGGAAATGTATTACAATAGCAATTTACTACACATTGTAGAATGAATTATCCAGAAGAAAATTCAAAATGCATTGCAAATGTCATCCAATCCATTTGTTTACATCATAATGACGGGTTGAAGGTTCCCCTATTCATCGCCAGAGGCTGAAACGATCGCTTAAACGCTGTACAGACTGGAGAGTTATAACATGTTATAACGGTTGTCAACTAATTGCAACACAGAAACCACCATCAAGATAGCGCTATAACATGTTTTAACTCTGTAGTCTGAACGTACTATTAGTTTCTATTGGATTCGCCTAATGCATTCGTGGAAAATGTTGAAATCATCATCACGTTCATAGTTCTGCTATTCTTCACGGGAGCTTATTTTGATTTGGCAATACTGTTCGCACACTGTCAAATATCATTGCACACAAAACCAACTTTGATCAAATCAGAACAAAAATACTAGCGCATCTGGCGGTTGATGGCACAAGCTTCTAAGAAAATTCTATTTCAGCGAATCACATTATTTTAATTGATTTCTTCGCCAGCCAGTCATCTGTCACTTCATTTGTGCTGTAACGGTAAGCGTCTAATGTCAAAAGGGGGTGATTCAGTTTTTATAGTAGACTAGCGTTAAACGCTGGATAGTACAATACACTAAACATTACCTTACTGAAAGGGACTGTTTGAGCCCTTTAATGACAAATGTAGCCGGTTGACTAATCTTTGACAGTGGTTATCATTTGGCTACGGTACGATGCCACACAGATAAAAATTCTGAATTTTAATTGTGATGTAAACATTCATTCACGTAGACTTGTATTTCATTTCACGCAACCGAGCAACTTGCAAACAATGTTGTTTACAAAGATGGGCTTTACAATATTTGCTACATTGCATGAAATGTGTCAGAACTTTACATGATATATAATGTAAACGTATATGACATGTGACGCTACATTTATGTGCATCTTATTGCACAGAAATTTACACTACTTTTTCGAACTGTGCATTTTTTAAACATTTAAATTGTCCCTTTCAGTTAGCGAACATTTAGTGTAATAAATTAATAATACTTCTTGTTTATTCGGGATGAAACCGTTGTCAAACTTATTTTGACGGATCGAATTCCATACATTTTGAGGTTAGTACCCGCGGAAAATAATAAACAACACGCAATTCGAGATTTTTGACAGATTTACAGATCAAGATTTTGCCAGAGTGCCGTGCGAGACTTTGTCAAATTCTCGATTTGCAACAGAAATGATTCCCTTCAATCATCCGTTGTACGATGATGAAACCCCGATCCACCCGAAAAACTGAGCACGCAAGATTGGACGCATGTTGCAAATTTGGAACTTAATTACCCATGAGAACCAATAATCCACGCCACTCCATACGAAATCTCATTTCACCGAAACGAAACCATGATCGACTCAACTTATACAGGCTACACACATCCAACCTATGTAACAGACACGGTCCTATCTCGCATTACCCCACTTTCCCACGCTTCCGACCATCAGCTGGTCGCTTCGACTACTCCTACTCCTTCAATCCCTCCTCGAAGTTTTCGTTGTTTTTTTCACCTCCGCAGTAAATGGATAATGGTCGCATCGCATAGAGCGAGTTCTGACAATGTCACGTGTCACCTAACCTCGCGCTCTGTCTAGCTCAGAAGAGCATCTTCTACGGCATTTGTCCCACCTCCGGGTTTTTCTCACGCAGAGCATCCAGCGCTGCTCTCCCACGAATTGTTTACATAGTCGAATTTTCCGAAACCACGCTGTTGGTCCTTTTCCCACACCGCACGATCGCAGCAAGCGACACCTTTATTTACCACCCCCCAAAGGAGGCTGCGGAGAGCGAAAGCGAGAGAGAAAATCCGAAGCGAGCGCAAGGTGTGAAGTGTCAAAAGGCAACATTTTCCAGGGGGCAGTACATAGGGGCAGAGGGAAATTTTCTCCTCGATATGAAGAACATGCTTTTATATGCCAGAGTGAGAGAGAGAGAGTGAGAGAGTACATAGACCGAGATTCGGGAGAGAGAAATGTCTGTTGTGCGGTGATAGTTGCAGAGAAGCAGGCGGCGATAACAAGCAGTTGACGTTTGAGCGTCGCGTTCAGCGGAAGCCGGTTATTTGAATTCGAAACGTGTCATCTTTGAATCATTTACCGTTGCGGGCAATTGTGATCTCAGTAGGCGACCATACGTATTGTGAAACAGGTGGCTGCAACAAGGTTGCTTAGATTACGCTGCGGTAGTGTCCTCTCTATTGTTTTGAGTGACAATCAGTGACAGAAAGTGATTTCGCGAGTAAACAAAAGAACGCCAGCAGCGGGCGAGATAGCGCAAAAAGTAAATACATCACACACAACCAGCACAAATCTGTCTAATTAATTACCATCTATCAAGTGGGTACAATTAAAACTAAATAAAAAATTGTTAATTCTTACCGCACAGTCCGGAGAGGGAGAGATCAAGCGAAGCGGGAGTGACAGAGGGTAGATTGTTTTCTTATTTTTAATTAAGAGCTTGCGATAACCAACCACATGGTCTCTGGTTCAATTGGTGCATGTGAATATTGTTTTCATGAATGAAGAAGATCTCCGCGCTCCAGTGGTGAGTGTCTGCCAGCAGTCACTGTGACGTGCCGGGCGAGCAAAACAAAAATATGTTATAATTATTCAAATATTTAACTACTCAAAGAGATAAATAACGTGCTGGAGCAGAGCAGAGTTTGGAATGCTCCGCAAGTGTCATCCCGTGAACGAGCAGTAGGCGACGAAAAAAGTGTCAAAATTTATTAGTGCCAGGCAGTGCAGTGTTTAGGCCAGAAGAAGAAACGCAGAACCAACAACACACTCACAGCAGCAACAAAATAAAAAAAAAGCAACGAAAGAATTTCGGAAAAAGAAGAGATCACTTTCCGCGAGTTATTTTAATTAGAAAACACAACAAACACATCAAGTCGGTGGCATTTCGTGGCGTTCGTGAATTGCAGCGGAAAAAAAAATATATAAAGTGCACTGCAATTTGCACAAAACCGACCGGCAACCATCAAGAAGCTGCGAAGCAGTGCGAAATTTGAGAAGTTTGAAGCCGAAGCCAAAGTAGGCATATTACGTATAGTAGGCCGCGAAGGGGGAGAAGGAAGAAGGTGCAAAAGAAGTGTTGTAATTCGATCGGTAGTAGGCACGCTGAACGGCAGCCAGTCAGTGCGGTGCGGTGCAGGCAACGGATTCCACCGGATCGATTGGTCACAGCAAGGCAGGGCAAGGCACGGAAGCAGGACGGAGTCCGCCTTTGAAGGTCTCTGTGAATCCCACGGTGCTGCGGCGTACCTGTCCGGGCGCGCTCGTACACGGAAGGAATTTCGCAAACGGCAACCCGGCAACTGTGTGCACACAGAACCCTCGGCCAAGATAGTTGCCAACAGTCAGTTATCCGTGAGTGATTTTGATTTGCTTTGATAGCTTTTGTAGGATTTTCTGGTGGGAATTTTAGGATGGAAAAGGGATCGTAGTATAATGAGTTATGTAACTGATGTATTCGATGGATATAATTAAAATTTAAACATGCAATGCTTTAACGCAATGGTGAACATCATAGAAATTGGTGTTACAGTCGCTAGTTGGGACGCAACTTCATCCCATCAACCGAATGCCATTCGATAATTGGGACGGTTTCCAAGTTGCGATGTCAATAAGTAGCATGATGCTAATTTTTCTCTGAATTGGCAATGTATTGTGCGACTTCCAGTTTTTTTTCTAGGTAAAGTAGGGTAAATTTCCCGTTTATGGACCCTTTTCTCTTAGTGAACCACCTTCGGATTGGAACGAGTTAGTTAGTTAAGCTTTATTCTATTTCAGCACACAAATTGGAACGATTTACCTGTAAATACCATCGGAAGAAATTTTTTACAACTGCATGGAAAACATTGGTCATATAGGGGAAATGGCTCTAATGTTGGCCTATGGATCTAAGATTGGGGTCATCTTTAAACATCTGCTATTTATCAATTTTATCTAGATAAACGCGTCATGGGGACAGTACTAATGGATATGGGCCCAAATTAGGGGCACTTAGGCTGACATTACATCCATTTCCCCTTCTATTTATAACAAGGAGAAAATATTATCGGTACAGTTGAAAACCGAAATAACCTACCAACGACAATCGATTTTACTCTGAATTATCTTAACGATGCTTCTCCGCTTACTCACGAATTTGGTCCCAAACTGATAATTCTTGTGAATGCAATAACTTATGAAACGGGTCGAGGAATCAGACCAATTTCTAGGGGATAATCTCTCAATCTTCTGCAACTTCCACGTTGAGCCAGTTAAAAACAAAAGTATTTAAAATACTAAAGCAGTAATTCAGTAATTTAACAGCAGTAATCCGTAATTCAACAGCAATCTTCTTCGGTTAAGGTTCGGTTAATTAGACTTTTAATTAAAGTAAGTTTTAAGTTAAATTTCAAGATAGTTTAAATTCAGATATTCTTAGAAGAATTCCATGATTGTATGCAAACTGCCAACAGAATCTTGTGATAAATTCTATTGGATTTATAAAGAGAATTCAATGGGAATTTTGAAAAAAAAATGAGTTTAATTTTGATGTTATTTTGGAAGGAGCAGTTCCACAAAACATAATTGTTTGTTATGGTCAATTATCCACATCTGAGCTGAAATTCGGCCATTATTACGGCAAAATACTTCAAATGGCGTATTAGAAAGTTTTTAATTAATCAACTCTAAAACGTCATTCCCAATCGAAATGACGTCTGGGACAAAGTTGTAGGTACCAAGGGTTACTCAACTCTGCACATCTCAATCTTTACCGAGTATTATGTCTGTGCCGAAAGCTGTGCCCTGTGTTGTGCCGAATGTGCCGAAGTGTATTAATCAAGCTGTCAGTCTCAGTAACCCATAAGTTTGGAAACCCCGCAGTTATGACTTTTGAGATTATTTGTTTACATTGTCGAGTTCTCATTGCATATAGGAGTGTAATCACTGTGCCTGTCCTGTTTATAAGTAAAACGAGCATCAAATAACACACATTTGAGTCTTTTTTTTTTGTAGAACATTCATTCCTCTTGGCTCAACGATGCCAAACGAATGAGAAGATTGACAAGCGCTAGTTCATCGGCCTCTGCTGGAACTGCTAACCAGTATACGATGACCGTTGCCAACCTCGAAGTTCTGCCCCTCCACGAGAAGGAGAAGGGTGACTGATGGCAGAAGTTGTCCACCCATGAGAAGAAAGTTCTGTACCGGGTTCTGATAGACGTTCACCGAATCCTGTATCATAAGAACTCAACCGGAAAGTGAAAGATGTGCCTCTACATTATCATCATGCTACTCGAGCAATCAGGAATGATTCGACCTAAAATTCTCACCAGCTATAGAAGAAGCAGCAATAGACCTTCAGTAGCTTCCTAATGCCAGCAGTCGCTGTTGAGTACTGAATTCGTCTAACTGAGCTATACAATTGTTGGTGAGATAGTCAAACGACTGTGATGTTCCATGACTTTGAACTTTTGAAAACCCTAATAAATAAACAGGAGGCCCAAACCGCTGAGATTGTTCATTAACGAATTTAAAATTTACTTGTATTGCTCTTCTTCGTCTTTCTAGTGGCTCTCTTTTTTTGGTTCTGAAATATGCATACTTTCCACAAATTTTTTACTTAAAAGCTACAATACTTCAAGAAATTTTATAGAATATGGAGTCAAATTTCTTGCCCAGTTTTAATGGCTCATGAAATTTTATAATAATTTCACTCCGAGAGAGTTCTGGGATAAACATCTTTGAGAAAAAGCATCAAGTGCAATCTGCATTCAAGGTATAAAGGGTGATACGGTCAAAATTTGGTCAATATCAACTTGACGTATTTCTTTCAATTTTGCATTTAAAAAACCTGAACACCCCTCATTTTGAAGGTGTGTGTGTTTAGAATGTTGCTCCTATTTTGATTTTGGAATTCACTCTTCAGTTGTCAAAATGCCGTCCAAGCAAAAAGAGCAGCGTATCAAAATTTTGCTCGCGCATCGCGAAAATCCGAGCTACTCGCACGCAAAGTTGGCAAAATCGCTAAAAGTTGCCAAATCAACCGTTACAAATGTTAAAGTGTTTGGGGAACGTTTGTCGACAGCCAGGAAGTCTGGATCGGGGGGAAATCGAAAACCGGAAGCCGCTGAGACGACAAAGAGAGTTGCCGGTAGTTTCAAGCGAAACCCTAACCTCTCACTCCGAGATGCCGCAAATAAGCTGGGTGTATCGTCTACAACCGTGCATCGAGCCAAAAAACGAGCCGGACTATCGACTTACAAGAAGGTAGTGACTCCAAATCGCGATGATAAACAAAATACGACGGCCAAAGCGCGATCCCGGAGGCTGTACACAACGATGCTGACGAAGTTTGACTGCGTGGTAATGGACGACGAAACCTACGTCAAAGCCGACTACAAGCAGCTTCCGGGACAGGAGTTTTATACGGCAAAAGGAAGGGGAAAGGTAGCAGATGTTTTCAAGCACATGAAACTGTCAAAGTTCGCAAAGAAATATCTGGTTTGGCAAGCCATCTGTACCTGTGGCTTGAAAAGCAGCATTTTCATAGCTTCCGGGACTGTCAACCAAGAAATTTACGTGAAAGAGTGTTTGAATAAACGTCTGCTGCCTTTCCTGAAGAAACACGGTTGTTCCGTACTGTTTTGGCCGGATTTGGCATCTTGCCATTACGGTAAAAAGGCCATGGAGTGGTACGCCGCCAACAACGTGCAGGTGGTTCCCAAGGACAAGAACCCTCCCAACACGCCAGAGCTCCGCCCAATTGAGAAATACTGGGCTATTGTCAAGCGGAACCTAAAGAAGACCAAAAAAACTGCTAAGGGCGAGCAGCAGTTCAAGGCAAACTGGCTTTCTGCGGCGAAGAAGGTGGCAAGGTGGCTGTACAAAATCTGATGGCAGGGGTCAAGCGTAAGGCCCGGCAATTCGGATTTGGAAAAGCGGAAGCCTAACTGAATATTTTTCCTGAATTTTATACTTATTGAACTTGAAAAAGAAATTTAATTTGATTTTTTAAATAAACGATTTCACCGATTTACACGCGTTTTCCCTTGACCAAATTTTGACCGTATCACCCTTTAGTTCTGAGGAATTTTTTTGAATTAAAAGTTAATTTTAATGAAAACTCATACGAGCAGAACTCCTGTGAACTTCAGAGGAATATTCCACGAAAATTCTGAGGATAATTTCATGAAGTTTGTGGGAGAAAACGAATCCGGCCCATAAATCTTTGGCATTTTTTTAAAGAATAAACAGTTCGAAAAAGTAGTGTAAATTTCTGTTCAATATGATGCTTATAAATGGAGCGTCACATATCATATACGTTTACATTATATATCATGTAATGATCTGAGACATTTCATGCAATGTAGCAAATATTCTATACAAAAGCCCATTGTTGTAAACAAAATTGTTTACAAGTTGCTCGGTTGCGTGAAATGAAATACAAGTTTACGTGTAACGAATGTTTACATCACTATTAAAATTCAGAATTTTTATCTGTGTACTTATGGCGAGAGGGGAGTGCTAAAAGGAGGATTACATTTAAATCTGAGAATAACTCCAGGAGATCTTCGATGGCATTCGGAAAAGACTTCCAAGAGACTTTGCCAAACAAATTATTAGAAGAAATCTAAGGAATTTGTTATTGAAATCCAAGGATAGTTCCACCGAAATTTTGAGGAATATTTCAATTGAATTGCAACAAGTCTTCTGAGTACATTCTGGTGATATATTTTAGAGAATTCAGAGAAGCGGTCCAAGTGAATTTTTAGAATAATTCCATGGAAGTTTTGGGAGAATATAAAGCAAATACTGAGAAGAACCCCAAGTGAATTTGCATACCTACTAAAACGTTCATCAATCAATATAACTATGGTTTCTTCATAGTAATTCCCATATAAACTTCAAATGGTTTATGCCAAGTCAGTTTCTCACTAAATGAGTTCAAATTTTGGGAGGCTAATCAGGGCCCAATTTGGAACCGTTTGAGCGCTGTGGAGCGAAAATTTCAAATTTAGCATCAGTCTAATAGAGCATGTTTCATTGTTTGCTTTAACTTAACATAGGAACTCGATAGAAGGTTTCCGTCGTCGGTAAAGTAGTTCAGATTGACGAGACCTATCCTAAAGTACAGAGTTTAGTTCATAATTTTTTCGCCAGCCGGCGCTCGTGTGATATTTATTTTGAATTGTTTGCCCCCAGATGGATTCGATAGAAGGCTGCCGTCTTCAGAAAAGTTATTTAGTATGACAAGCCCTATTTTTTGGTAAAAAGTTCAGCACTGAATTCACTCACCAGGGGGCGCTAGTGCATAATTCATTTTGAATTGATTATCCTAACTTAACATCTTGACTAGATAGAAGGCACCAGTATTG